TGCCAAGAAAAATCGATTCATGCTGCAGGGGAAATACGTCAGAGTTCTTTATTGCGAGGCAGGTGGAGTCGTGTCCGCCTTTGAAAAAAAATTGCAGAAAAGGCAGGGGTGGGTAGAGGATGGGTCCTGGAAGATTCATCGAATGGCAGAGGAGAGAGACTATTCAAACTGATGAGAATGTTCATTTGAAAGGGGAAAGAATTTTATTGTTCTGAGATCCTGTTTAGGGTGAATAAGGCATGTAGGTCAAGGGAAAGAATGTAAGAAAAATTAACGTTCGCAAAAAGCAACTGAGTAGTCTTTTGTATAGGAACAGCACCAGTCTATGTACAATGACCATCATAGGAAATATTTTATTTTAGTGCACCTAAATGCCGCACCCGCTGAAAATCGAAGTTTTAAACACGTAAACGCTGCAGCGTTTCTTCAGGAAATTACGGTATATACAAATTTGTAAATTTTTGCATTTTTTTATTGATTTAGTTTATTGAAGTTATTAGTTTCATAATGCATTGTTTTTTTGAGTTATAAGTATGCTCTTCTGCTTAGTACTGCTGTGCTCAGGACATGCAGTCCTTGGAAAGGGTGCAACGTTATGAATTTTGCCTAATGTAATATTCCTAATTCCTATTTGCCTAATGTCTCAAGACAGTGAAGCTCTATCAGAAAAATAAGATTACAGAGGAAACTCTATTTAACATTGAGGTAAATGGCTATCTCACTAAACTGGTGAAATATTACCAAGCTGGTGATGGTTTTGGCCATTAATTTTTGTCGCATAATTTGGCACGAAATTGCAAAGTCACCAAACCTGGCAACATTTTGAGCTGGTCCTTCTATAACTGTAACTGGTACTGCAATTGATCCCTGTGCGCTACTGTAATCATATCCAAACCTTATATGTAACTTTAACCATATACCATCCAGTAACTTCAAGAAACAGAGGTACTAGAGATTTCTCAGAGACCAGGGGAAACTATATGTCCACAGAGAACATCAGTTCTCAGTTTCTCAGTGCAGAATAGACTTCGGAGTATTGAGAGATCTCTGTGCAAGCTTTGCTCTTTAGATGCCCTCTGCACTGGTATTGTGTTTAACATTTTTAGTAGTTTAAGGTGGTAACAACTGATTGTGCTGTCATACTGAGTGTACGCCTGGAAAGTTCCAGAACTATAAAGTGTTTCTTTGTAAAAATATACCAGGTGGCCATAATTAAACTGACAGTGCTCACAGTGTTCTGTAGTGCGATCTATTTGCGAGAATGACGCCACATTTTGTAGGAAGATTAAACAAGATGGGGACGAAGGATTCCGCCAAAAATAAATTAGTTCCAAAAGTCACCGCTTGGGGAATATTCGGCGCTGTGTAATAGAAAATAGAGTGTTAACAAATGCAAACCAATACGGAAATTACCTTTAATTTTGCATTAAAATGAGGCTCAATGTGGCTGCCATGTTTGGACCACATAGCATTCTGTGCACAGTATGCACAAACAGCAGAAAGTAACATGTCTGCAGGAATCTCCCGTACAGTCCGTGATATGTATCTTTACGTAGCCAGGTCTGGGACCACCCTTGATAGACCTTGGACTTAAGTAACCCCATAGCCAGAAAGTCACATGGGGTAAGACAGGCAACCGAGGAGGCCATGCAGTTGAAAGTAGCGGCTAATGACTCTTTCTGTTGTTAATTTTCTGTCGTAGCATCTGTTGCACCCATAAGAAATGTGTGGAGGGTTCCACTTGCATGAAAAATGATTTTCCCCAGGCTTGTCTTTGTGAAGTGCCGGAATGACAGCTGTTCAACATGTGGCGATATTTCTCTTAGGTAAAGAACAGGTTTCTGGTCCTGTCGGTGGTAAGTTCTCATAGAAGAATGGACTATGATAAATTCTGCTGTGAACCCACCAAACAGTACTTTGCTGAAGCAAGGAAATTGCTGTGACTGCATGTGGTGGATGTCATCCCAAATCGGCAGTTGGGTATTCACAGTTCCATTAGGTAAAAGTGGCCTCATCTCCCATAAGATTTTCCACGGCCAAGCATCATCCACCTCCATTCTGGCTAGAAAGGTGAGAGCAAAAGTCAATCGCTTATCATGGTCGGGGTACAGTAACTCCTGTACATGGCTGATCTTGTACGGATAGAAGTTGATTAATCTTTTCGTAAGATTTTCCATATCTGTACTGTAAGGCATACCCATAATCCGAGCTACTCCACGAGTGCTAGAGGTGGCAGCAATATTGTCTGGTTCTCTGTCGACAATCGCCATGGCAACTACTTCGATTGTATCCTGTGGTACAGATTTTCGTCCTCTGCCTGACTGAACCTTCAGAGAACCTGTTTTCTCAAACGTGCAACTATTTCTTTTAGACTATTAACTGACACAGAACCATTACCTTCATGCATTTTTTTGTGCGTTCTAAAAGCACAAAGAGCGGCTGACGCGTTGCACTGCTTGAGGTAAAAGAATTTGACCAGTAACGCACGCTCGACTAAGGAGACATGCATAAAACTTTCAATTCGACTGATTTGAAACGTAACACATTGCCTTTTAAAAACCCAAGCAGCTGGCACTGTGTGAATGGATGTAACGTGAAATTTCAAAAAGAAATTCTCTCTGCTCAGCGTACGTGATATTGAAGACCGAGACTTTACTGTGTTATGTAGATTTATGCTTTTTTAAAAGTGGTTGCCATATTGCACTGAACTAAATCAGAAAATCTGCATAAAAAAAGGTAATTGAGTCCGTATTAATTTGCATTTGTTAAACACATTTCTAGTACACAGCGCCAAATATTCACCTAGCGGTGAATTTGGAACTATTTTGTTTTTTCGCAGAAGAAGGCACCCGTCTTGTTTAGCTTCTACAAAATGTGGCATCATTCTCGCAAATAGATCGCGCTACAGAACACTGTGAGCACTGTCAGTTTAATTATGGCCACCCGGTGTTTTATCAAGCTATCATTCAGTGTACACTCAATCCATTACGAATCCGTATGCATACAACAATATTTATTTCTAGTTACAATTAGAGGATCTCGGCATGTGTTTAGTATCTCTTTCACAGACGCGAAAAAGCATGGCAGGTATATAATGGAAAAATCCCATTTAATGATTTACCACTTTTAGATGGGAGTTATATCCATGATGCAGTATTTCTCCTGATTTTATAAAAGAAGAATTTTGTTTATTTTGAAATCATATACTATCTGAAACACAAAAAAAATTTACTTACTTGATTTATTGATACTTGAACCAATTTTTAAGAAGATGATATTTTTACAACATATTTAGTTATCATATATCATGCTTTCATATTTACACTTGAGATTAGATGGACATAGAAGTGGAGAGGGGCACACTTTCTTACAGTTTACTAAGGTGGCTGGTTCAAAATACTTAAAATAATTTTATTTCTTTAAAAAAGCTTCTACCTTTTGGATTCAATAATTAAAATCTCATTAAAAGCATTAGAGATTATATTAAGCTTGAACACATTTCCCATCATTTAAAAAAAGGAGAAACTCTGATTTTAAGATACTTTCCGTTATGAACTTGCCACACTTTTTGATAGCCATGAAAGAAGCCAAACACCCACTGAGACCCAAAGATAATGCCAATTGGGCTACCGCCATATGTGTGTATTTCTGTACTAGTGTGTATGTGTTTGTATATTATAATTAAAAATTGCTTATAACTATAAAAAAAAAACCCACCAAAATGAGTGGCAGGTGCATAGAGGAAAAGTACCAATTTTATTAAATGATTTTTTTAATCTGCTGATTAAAATCACAAACATTATTCAAAGAATACTGCAAACAGCTGATAATAATAAAAACCATATAATTCTATATGGTCTAGTCTGTTTTTTAAATTAAAATTAATTTGAAAATACCAACCTTCTGATAATTACAGACAAAAGATTAATAAAATTTCCCATCTGCACAAAAAAAAAAAAAAAAAAATGTTAAAAGTCCAATTTAAAAACTTACAGAAGAGATTTCCAAATCGTGGGTAACAAAATGTTTTTCAAATAGCTCTTGTATGATTAAATACATTTACCTGCATTTATGAATTAGTTTAGTATTACCAACTAATCATTAATAGCTATACATCCTTATTTATTATAACTTTATAATAACATTTTTTTTAAACCTAAACTCATCTTTTCTCTTCTCTTTTTATGACAGTAATTATATGCATGAGGGTAGCATTAAATCACAACTCTACACGTGTAGCAGTATCCCACAAGGTACCTAAGCCGTCACAAGCTACACCTTGCTTCCCTTTCTTAACAGTTCATATTTTTAAAAAAATGAAAGATATGAAGTAAGTACATTTCTAAATACACACAAAATCTAAAGGGCTTTTAATCGCTTAAAAAAAAACTATATTCTGTTTTATTCAAAGTAAGATTGTTACTTGTAAGAAGATTTTCTGTCATTTTTCTAGCCATTTAATTAAAGTGATTTTAATTCTAATAGCACAATACCTTCAACATATTTTAATCTAATTTACAGGAAAGTAACACGACTTTTAACATATAAACTGCCAGTTATCCTTTTTACCCATGACTCAACAAAAATGGAAAATATTAATAATTGTTTCAGGGTTTAATCTATAAAGGAAATATTTTTAAATTCAAATTATAATATCATAACTCATATGCTAGATATATTTATTAAACTTTAAATGATGATCCAGACATTGTTTAACAATAATAATAATAAAAAAATTGCACATATGCATTTTCGCGAAATATTTTCAGTAAGTAAAAAAATTAAATCGAACTTGTGTATAATATTAAGCTAATAAATTAATCACACTGCTGTTTTTTCAAAACAGTTACATAACTTTTAGGTGCAAATAAGTATTAAAAGATGAACATTAATTGACATACGAATGACATAAACACAGGCACGTTTCTTATCACAATGGGTATCTTATGTTTACAAAATTTAAATTAAATAGCATGACAATAAAACAATAAAAAACATACCATAAAATCAGATAATATCTGCTCCTTGTTTTCTTCCATCGCTTAATTATAGAATGAAAATGAATTTAGATTAATTTTCTAAAATAATTTATTGGACGAAATTAGATCGGCAGTCTGCATTACAGTAATGTTCCTTCAAATCACAGCGACATCTGCTGAGTAAAATTTGTGGCTAAATTCTTATTCGTAAATTCGAGGAATCAATAACATATCATATCTTCTTACAGAAACTAGATATTAATATTAACGAAAATGAAACGATTGTTCCCTCAGACTACTTTAAATATTATGAACTTATTTATGACATCTCGTAATTTATTGCTTTGGGTTGAGATGTTTCAACTCAATGAACACTTCTGACACATATATAGTTATACTATACCTAAGTCAGAATTAATAGATATAGTAACGTAATAGATATATTATATATAGATATAGTAGTATGCTGCTTTATTTTATAGCTGATTATTTTAATCTGTTTATATGCAAACATAGCGAAACATTTCTTCGGGCTAAAAGACTGTCTAGTACACATGGCAGACGCAATGTGTGTTTTTTTGCGTTGACTTAAACTTCAGACCTTCGCGAAAGTAAATTATTCATATATAATTAGTTGATGCGATGGATGAATATTGAATAATTTTTATTAACTCAAGTTAAGAACGTAATCTACGGATTTCTGAATAAGATTTGCCGGCGTTTCGTATAAATAAGAGTGAAACGTTCCACATATTAAATAAATTGTGCATCAAAATTTACTCACATCTTTCACTTACCTTGTCATGCATAATCAGAATTTTGACATTCGTACGAAAACACTTTTTTAAATGCATATGACTCTTATTTAAGATTGATAGTGTTATAAATGATGGTACTTACGTATTATCGCAACCAGGTTGGCGCTATTTGTAAGTTTGAGTAAAAAAGTATGAATAGAAAGAAAATGTACATTTATTAATTACAGATAATTTTTAATACAGTTTTTATATTATTTTGTTTTAAAATATAAAATAGCAATTAAACCCTTCCGGTTTCGAATTTGAATAAGTTGCAGAATTATTTTTTTTCGGCGGAAAATCTTTTGGCTATTGCTTTTAGCACTGATTGAAAACCGTATTCGCCATAACCATGTACACGTCGACTTATTTTTACTTAAAAAAAATCCCAGAATTGCACAAAAATGGCATTGCGCACACTCTTGACTTTATCCATGTACACTGCTATTTTCTCATAAATTACAAATTTTGCACGAAAATGCAGGAAAATTTTAGGAATCTCCACATGCTCTTTTTACAAAACTACGTATAACACGTAGGGTCGCCAAATTTGGCAATTTATGCGAATTTTGGCCTGGTTGCATTAATACGTAAGTACCTAAATGATTTCTGCTTATTATTTTAGACTGATAAAAAGTATGTACAAAAAGTGAAGAAGTGCAAAATATGTTTGTGTGATAATACAAATGGAAAAATGGTAAAAGTATATTTTAGGATACCCCTTGAAGATTTTTGGTACATGGATACCGAGTTTGTGCAAGTCTTTGACTTATTATTTTGGCTTGCATAACGGTGATTTTTGTGCCAAAAAATCGCCACTACACAAAGCCAAAATATCAACACAAAGAATTGTATAAATACAATTCGTTAATATCGGTATCCATGTACACATCTATCTATTTTCACTTAAAAAAAATCCCCGAATATATATGTAATGAAACTGTGGTTGGATGACAAGACATGAAAGATTTGATTATTATTGTGGCACAAACTTGCATTAAAATTTTCGGTGAAACAGACTTTTCCCATGATTCACTGTGAACACAGAATAACAAACCCATGTAGATTTCTTCATAATTAGAACTGGGCCAAGAAGGTAATGACAGAACACTTTTAGAGGCACTGAAATAAGAACACTGACACATAGATGAGTAGAAATACTAGTTTCTTAGATACTTGAAGCTTAGAGCGTCCATCCATGTCGCCATTTTATTGTAATGAAACTGTGATTGGATACTCTGCATTGGGAGTTTACTCTTTCATTTTATTCATTCATTAAACGATGTGGAAATAAACTGCACTAGGAGTTCCACGCCAAAGGTCGAAAAGCGGCTGTGCCATTTTATTGTAATGATACTGCACTGTAGCTGTCATAATGTTTTGTCATCCAACCACAGTTTCATTACAACATTTTATTGCAATGAAACTGGTTGGATGAAATTTTCGGTGAAGCACAACTTCCCATGATTCACTGTGAACACAGAATAACAAACCCACGTAGATTTCTTCATAATTAGAACTGGCCAAAGAATGCAATGACACAACACTTTTAGAGGCACTGAAATAAGAACACTGAGATGCAGATGCGTAGAAATACTAGTTTCGTAGACACTTGAAGCTTAGATATATATAATTTAAGAAAGGAGAGCAAACTAAAAAAGACCTTTTTATATATATATGTAGGTATGAATAATCAGAATTAAACGTTTCAATATTGCTTTGAAAATTCTTTTATTCCAAGAAAATTCTTTATTCGAGAAAAGAATCAATTTAAATCATTAGTGAAATTCCAAACTGCTATAAATATGAAACAAATGATATACATATATATACACTGAAGAGTCAAAACATTATGACCACCTACTACACATTGCACGAACTTTGGCCTGCAAAATCGCCTTGGCATGGATGCCATAAGTTCTTGATAAATGACTGGGGATAGATTGTAACATATGGCTAAGCAGTGATCATGCGAAGTCGAGATATTTTGACATGGTGGTGTTTGAGCTCTGAGCTACTGTTCCACAACATCCCAAATTTGCTTTATCGGGTTAATATCCAGAGAGCTAGGTGGCCAGGACATTAATTGGTTTTGGTTTCTTTAATAATGGCAAAGCACACTAGGGCTATCTGCCTAAGGGGAGGGATGCCTTCGTGGAGGACTTTCTAAGGGAAACTGGCTCGTATACAAGTTACACATGGGAAAAACCACGAAAACACCCATGCAGCCAGCCCGTTCGCGAATTCGAACCTCGGACCAAACTACCAGTGTTCAGCGACTTTACTGTTCGTCCGCTGGTGGGCCAACATTAATTGGAATTCATCCTTATGCTCCTCGAACCACTCCAACACAATTCAAGCCTTGTGACATAGGGTATTATCCTGCTGGAAGATTCCATTTCTATTGGGGAACACAGACGCCATGTAAGGGTGCAATTGATCTGAAATTCAGATAGTTTACAGCTTTCATGATCTGTTCTACCCCAATTAAGGATCCCACAGCTGCCCATGAGAATGTCCCTCAAAGCATAATTCCGCCACCACCAGTCTGTGGATAACTTGCTGTACAAAAGGGAGAAAATGTTCGCCTGGATGATGGCGTACCCTGACAGGACCATCGACGTGATGAATGACAAATCGTGATTCATCCTAGCAGCCAACTGTCTTCCACATACCCATGATGGTCTTGATACCCCATGGTCTTGATGTTCCCAGGCCTGTTGTAGGCATAGTTGATGCTTGGTCAACAGAGGCACATGAGTGGGACATCTGCTATGCAGTCACATATCCAATAGTGTGTGCTGAACTTGTATGTTCTAAAACACTTGCACTTGAACCTGCATTTTATTGGGCTGTCAACTGAGCCACTGTGTGGTGCCGATTTTGCTGTACCAAGCAGGACAGTCTCTGTCGTCCTTTTACTTTGGTGATGCATGGATGTCCAACATCTTGGTATCTACTGCTGGTTTCACCATCATTTATCCACTTTGTATAAACATTAACAAAGACAGATCGTAAACAACCTACCAATCATACAGTTTCGGAGATACTCGTTCTGAGTCTTTGGGCCATTACAATCTGCCTTCAATCAAATTTGCTTACATCAGCAGCCTTTCTCATTGCTCACAAAAGCAAGTTCAAGAATGATTCTCCTTACTTTCTCCAAGCAGCAGTTAAAGACCATTCTTACTTAATCACATGCCCTCCACGTCATCCAGATAAGTTCATTCAAAAATGTGGGGATGGTCATAATGTCTTGGCTTGTCAGTGTATATAACAATGGAAATAATTACATAACTGGTTTGTGTATGCATATTTTTATAGATTTTTCCCACCTATTGAGACGCGCATTTTAACTATTTTTTTAATATCTATAATAATTTTTTGTGGAAAAAAAATTTACTCATAATTACTTTTTGATCCTTTAAAGAATATGCATCACTCAATTTGTAACATAAAAATATAAAATAAATGTTAATATAATAGGCTAAGTACTACTCAAATTCATAAAACATTTGCATAACAAATATCCTTTGACTTAAAAATGAATAAAATAAATATAAGACTAAATTAAATTTCTTAGAAAAAAGGGAAAGTTTATTTTATTATTTTATTTTGAATTTAGTCTAAGTATGAGTTACTGTGAAATGTTGACAAAAATTGTATGTACAATGGGATTAATAATCTTGAAATGAATTAAATGTAAAATATAATATGCAATTTCATATTATCATAAATAAATGCGTTGTGGATTCTAGCACTAAATAAATTGTGGATAAAAACAGTAACTGAAATTTTAGTATTAATATGAAATACTGAAACCATACACCTTCTTGATTTTGCTTTTTTTGTTATACTAAATATGCCAAATTCTCAAATATTTCCATGTTTTTCATTCTACTTAACGCACTGAAAAATCTCAGTTGAATAAATGACGATATAAAACTATGAACTTTAAAACTCGCACAACATTTATGTTTTTGAAAGCTGACTCAAGTTGATTAAAAATCAAATATACTTCAAATGAAAATAAAATTATGCTATTAAAAAAATTTTTTTTACACAAGGTTAAATACATAAAATATAAAATTTGTTATACCATATATTTCCGTGTTATAAGCCAGGAATTTTTTAAAGCTAAATTATAGGGGTTAGCTTACAGGCTAGGTGGTCGTGAAAGAGGTCGGGTGTTGTCCCAATATAAATGTCCTGTAATAGAGTCTAACCACTGTCCTGATCTTGACTGGTCATTAGTCAATTAGTATGTAATCACAGTGCCATTTAGTTACTTTGCTACAGCCCACCATGAAAGCTGGAATGTCCACTAGGAACCAGGTCGACTGCCACTGGTTTAGTTATGTTTTTCATGAAATTCTGAAAATACTTATCTGGTCCAGTTTAATTAATGGTGTGTAGAAGATTAAATTTGTGAACATCAATTTTGTTACAAACTATGTGTAAAATGTTAGTACATTTTTCACGTGTATTCCTATTTTATGTAAAATTAATGATT